TTTTAGTATATTCAGAGTCTTGTAACCATCACCACAATCAACTTTAGAACCTTTTCCTCCCCCCAGAAAGAAACCTGTCACCCCCATTAGCTGTCACCCCCCACTTCCCCCCGAGCATGCCGAGCCCCTGGCAACCACACACCTACTTTCTATCTCTGTGGATTTGCCTATTAGGGATAACTCGTGTTACTGGAATCACATAATATGTGGCCTTTTGTGTCTGCCTGGCTTCTATCACAAAACAAGCTTTTTCTCCTTATTTCATCTGCAATTTAATTAGACTGATAATACAGCCCATCAACCTAAACGGGACACTTGTAGAGCGAGAGCGGTGCTCTTGATAATTACCCTGTGACATCAGGCATACACATGGGCCACCCCTAGTCAACGTGGCAGAGGCGTGGGCATCCTGCCTTCAACTGAAAATGGTTGCACCTCACATCCACCGTGAAGCCACCTGCCTCCCCTTCCCTAAATCAAAATTCCCAAATCGCCCTCAGCAACCTCGGGTCTCACCAGGAACTGAAGTTAATTTACTTGTAGAGTTGCTAATGCTCTGTTCACAGCTGAAGCGTGCTCGTGATTTATGGGAGAAATAAGACTCATGTCCCCCAGAGATGAAAACTGGCAGTTGTATTTTTCATCTTGGAAGCATGAAATTTGACTGCACAGGCTGCAAACTGCAAAGGAAAGCAGGCGCAGAAAACACAGCTTTGTCATGACAAACGTGAAAGGGATGGCATGAACTGCGGGCCTTCAGAATGAGCCTCTCGGAGGCTTCACTGGGTGGGTCGCACGTCGCAGCTCTGAAAAGGGCAGCATAACTATTCATTGTTGGGCTGTTAAAGGCACCTGGCTTGGTGTCATCTCTCGCTGCGCCTGTCCCTCCCAGGTTCTTTTATGTACTCTCAGAAAATGTTTTCAGTGTTCGTAAACCAATGAAAAATTTATTATTTTTACATTATAAGTATCTGCTGGGTGGAGATAGAAGTTATGCCTTTAGGACAACAGCTTCTCACGGTCGCTGCTGACTCATGAGCACGCGGTACGGTTCAGAAGTAGATGTGTTTAACTATCGATGCCTGCCCCTCACCCCGCCTTGCCGCAGTAAGGCGTTATGAAATAAGGAGATCTCTACCACCAAACACCTGCATCACTGTCATCAAACGAGCATTGATGGTCCCCCCACATGCAAGATGCTCTGCACCATGCTGACGGGGCTGCAAACAACATATACTCGGGCTGCCCTGGAACGCTACACACAAAGGCACAATTATATATAGTAACCAAGAAGTCATCTTCTCCAAATCTCTGGCTCCCATCATGCCCCTGCCTCAGCCTCGAGCCTAAATTCTCTAAGGAACCGAGTGATGTTTCTGTGATTTGTGTTCTGAATTCACTACCCAGGTCGATTGAGGGCCACCTGTCACAGCGTGGCCAGGGATCACCCCCTGTGGAAGCTGGTTTTGATTCCCGCTATTCAGATGCAGGGAACGTCCTTGGAGCCAGACGTTGCGTCTAGACGCTTCCAAGCCAAGGAGGACCCTCATACCAGTCCGGTTCTGGGCCCCAGATGCCCATGTGCTCCTCTGGTGTCCCAAGCAGCTTTTGTTTGTGTGTGTTTTGTGTCTGAGCTCATCCATCTGGCTCCCCTTCTGCCACCTTTTCTTCTGTTTACACCCACAATCTCAATTTGTCTTCCAGCTCTTTCCAAACCAATTAGGCTATGGACAGATTTAGTCCATTTCTAGGCCAGATGCTCAAATACATCCTTTTCTGCATTAAAAATAATCGAAGTAGGCTCCCAGCCAGCCGCAGGATTTACAGACCCTTGAAATTCTAGGAGAAATCCGCAGAAATCTTTCTGATTCTGGCGCAATCCCCACATTCATTCAGCAGGGGGAAAAAAAGGCATTGATTTCATGGGAGCATGGAAAGCATCTTAAGTGTTGGTCAGAGCACCCAGTCTCTCACAGTCAGAAGATCTGGCCTGGACCACCTGGTACATTTCTTTCCCGATGCGATGTTCCTCTCCAGTGAGGTCACGCACCGCTCCTGGGCAGGGCAAGCCGCTTCTCCCAGCATTTGTGTATCCATCCCCTCCAGCCGGGGAAGCTGGGGTTTTCTTGTCAGCACTATGCTCTCCACTTTGTTGCTTATTCGGGTGCTGTTTATACAGATACGTCATATTCTCTATGTGTGTCGCGTGTTTAAGCTAGGACCATCATTTCTCACCTCATCTTAAAGCTTCAGGAAAGGGTTTGCTGATGAAATGGGTATGGTGTTCCAAGGAGAAAAAGCTCACGTCATCATGCCCAGGGGAGGAAAACAATTCCTTAGCTGGAGCCCAGCGGAGAGCTTGCAGAGCAGGTGTTCGTGCCTCCGGGAAGAAAATCATGCGATGTTGCGGGTTTCCTTGCTGACGGGAGAGCTGCCCACAGGCAGATACCTCCTGGCCATTCGTGCCCACACGGAGGCCTCCCTCGGCTTCCCGGGGAGAAAAGCCAGTGTCAGAATCCAGTGTGCGAAAGACTCCAGCCTACTCCCAGGAACCTCAAGTAGGTGTCGTAGGTGAGGCCCCGGAATCTGCAGGTGAATTGGATGCAGGAGGTGCCAGCTGCAGAACCTGGCCGTGCTGTACCATGGCCTCCCTGGATCCCCCAGGATGCTGAGCTCCAAGCACAGGTGCTGTCATGCTGCCCAGAGGTCCAGTTGGGAGCCTCAAGGGTTAGAGCAGAGTGGGGACACATCATTCCTGGGGGCCAGCTGGAGCACCCTGCGTGCAGCCCACGGGCACCGTGAAGGGCCCCTCATCAAACGTACAGGCAGAGAAACGCTGTCCCAAGTCACCCCACAGGAGCCATGGGTCCAAGCGTCGGAGGAAAAGAGAGGGATCAAATGTCACCCACGATTGTCCCAACACCTTAGGTTAACCCCGAGGGTCAAGGCTTCTCAAACAAAACCAGCTCTCATTTATAGATTGAGACTGACATTGCCCCTAACTACGTTCTATACTGTATGTATGAGCCGCTTGGTGTCATTTACTGAGCATTTACTCTGGGCCACAAGGTGGGGGGTCCTTCCTGTGGGAGGAGATGGCGTGTGAAGACCCTGAAGAGGACGGTGCTCCCCCCGCCAACCCCACCATCGCTCTCTCCTCAAAGTGTGGTCCGAGGCTGGCAGCGTCAGCATCACCTGGGGGGAGCGTGTTCGAAATGCAGGCTCTCAGGCCCCCAGCCCCTCTGAGTCAGAGTCTGCCTTCTAACCAGACCCCCAGGTGACTTGAAAGCAAGTTAACAATTGAGATGCACCATTCCGCTCCTCTGAGGACCCATGGAGGCTCCCATCTCCCCATCAGTGATGCTTTTTCTTGTTTCTGTCTGAACAAATAAATGTGTCTCAGCCCATACTTTTTTTTTTTTTTTAAAGGCACAAGCCCAGATTCCTATTAATAAATGAATTCCAAGTGAGCGATTTCCAAAGCCAGAGGGGACACGGCATGGCTGAGCTCCGGGGGGAACGGGCGGCGTCTGCAGCAAACGGCACCATCCGCAGCACCTCCCAAGGTGTTTTATAAACGGCCAAATCTGTCCCCTTATTAAACAGCCGCCCCCAAGCCCCCAGCCATAGAAACACAAGGCCTGCGTTTCCTGACGCTATGGACTTGGACGGGGCCTCCTCTGCGGCGGGGAAGCCAGTGGCAACGGGAGCCTGCAGGGACCCGGCTCTGTCCCCTGCTCTGAACGCAGGCATGTTGGAGGCTGATGGGGGTGTGCCCAGGATGGAGCCATCGGCCGAGCTGTGACAGGCCTCCAGTCTTCCAGACTGCTGGTCTGACACTCCATCCAGAATAAAGCAGGCTTGAGTTTTACCAGCTCCCTTGAGTGACAGATTAAGTGTGGCCCATTGGACGGAGTGCTCGTCTCAGGCTGGCGGGGAGAAGGCTTCCGTGCCGGCCTCAGGGCTGGAGCTACTGTGCCTTAACCATCTGTCTACAGCGGTGGCATCGTCCTCACCTCCCACCTGTTCTACCAAAAAGTCAAGGACCCTAGGGACCGGATTTCAAGCACTTCCCTGTGGCCCGGGCCACATCCATAAGTTCTAAGGATGTCATCTAGTCCTGATACAGACTTGCTTGGTATGGGTCTCCTGCGGTTGCTATAATCAGTATTAGAATCAAGGTTAGAAGTCGTTGCTGAGAAGTGGCGGCGAGGAAGGAGGCTTGTCAACGAGCCCATCAGCGTCTGACGCAGAAACGGCTGCAAAGAAAAATTATTTGCTGAGTCCTCAGCCTCAAAGTGGCGACAATGTTAACTCTCTCGCAAGGCTTTTTAGAGGAACAGAGGAGGAAACGTAAATGAAATTGCCTCGTGCGTATTAGGTATGTGGTAAATGCTTGTAGGATCTGGAACCTTCCTCTTTACCACTGAGTAGAACATGGAATAGGGAAAATCCATTTTGGAGTCAATCCCCAAGGCTGGGTTTCCGGCACACGACGTGGGTATCACTTGAAGGCGATTTGACCCAAAGGTATTAGTGTTCATGGCGGAGCTGTGCTGTGTTTACAGGGGGCCCTGATGCAAGGCAGAGGCTCAGCTCTGTCACAGCCTCATCAGGAGACAGTGGAAACTCAAACACTATGGATTCTTTCCTGCCAGGCTTTTTTCTATTATTATTTTTTTATTGGAGTATAGTCACTTTACAATGTTGTGTTAGTTTCTGTCGTACAACAAAGTGAATCAGCTGTACGTATACATATATCCCCTCTTTTCTGGATTTCCTTCCCATTTAGGTCACCACAGAGCACTGAGGGGAGTTCCCTGTGCTATACGTAGGTTCTCATTAGTTATCTATTGTATACATAGTTGTGTATATATGTCAGTCCCGATCTCCCAATTCATCTCATCCCCCCATCCCCCCTTGGTATCTATACATTTGTTCTCTACATCTGCGTCTCTGTTTCTGCTTTGCAAATAAGTTCATCTGTATCATTTTTCTAGATTACTCAGCTATAAAATGGAACGAAGTTGGGCCGTTTGCAGAGACGTGGCTGGACCTAGAGACTGTCATGCAGAGTGAAGTAAGTCAGAAAGAAAAACAAATGCCATAAAATACCGCTCATATGTGCAATCTGCCAGGCTTTTCTGGAACACCAAACCCCCTTGATCTGTCTACCTTCCCACCTGTGGGCTCACATAAGCCAGTAGAGGGCAACCTTCCCCATGGGAGGTGTTACCTAAGGCAGGGCCAGCTGTGTGGACAACTTGGGATTTTCCCGCGGGCAGGTTGGTACCACATCCTGTCAGCCAGGCCTGTTCTCCTGCTTTTTACAGGGAAAAAGCTGCCTTCTTGTGCCCAGCCTCTCCCAACAGTGTGTCATCACAGGCCACTCCTGGGCTGCTAGGTTCTGTGTGGTGGTCAGAGGCAACCAGCGGCCCCGCTCAAGAGAATTTAATTCTCACCGTATGTGTTAAGGGCCGACTCAGTAATTTTGCAAGCATTGTTTAAGTATTTGGGAACGTTTTGTTCATTAGACAACCAAAGTGCTTAAAAAGAAAGTTAAACATATTTTCATTATAAAAGCACTATGAAATGTCCAAGGGAATTTAATTAGCCAAAAGTTCTAAAGTCCTTTTGTAAACAATTACTTGAATTTAAATAGATTTCTAAGCGAAATCATAAGATTTGTTAAGTTCGACTGAAAAGCTTGGGAAAACCTGGGTTTTACAATGCGTTACTTTAAAAAAAAAAATTGAACACTGTATTCATTTTTAACACCAAAGTCGCCTGTTTTGGTACTCAGTCTCCTTTCAGGACCACAAAAAGCATGCAACGGCAAAGGTGCATAGGAGAAACCGGGTGATGTGTTTCCCCAGGGAAACACGATTTTTCTTACCTGTTCTGAGTCTTATTCTTTTCCCACTGGATCTGGTTTTGCCCTTTGAGGGAGAGAAGAAAAATGTGAATTCAGTGTGTTGTCAGAGACGGACGATTTCACACGCTGAGCTCTATTTTTCTGCTAGAAAGTAATTCCTTCCTCCCTATCTCCTCCTAATAGATGATCTTCCATCTCGATTCTGTCTCCCTGAGATATCTCATCTACTTCTGGATCCCAAAGCTCTGTGACTTCTCTTCCAAACACTGGGCCCCTGACTCAGATACTAGCTGTCCCTAGGATGGGATGCTGTCATCTCGAATTCAGCACATCTCTGTGATCTCCTGTGCCTCCTTTTTCATGTCACCCGGCTCAGAACCTCGGGCATCTTTGATGTCTTTGCCGTGGACCACTTTTATTTAATAAGACCATTCGTTCTTAGAATTTCCTTACCATCGCCATTACTGTTAGAGGCCAAGTCCTTACTTCCAGACCACAAGAACTTTTTTTTGGAGGGAGGGGGATTTTTTTGGATTGATATATAATTCACATCCCATTGAAATTCACTTGCTTAAAGTATACAGTTCTGTGTGTGGTTTTTACTACATCCTCAGGTATGTACAAATATAACCACCACCCACCCCCAGAACACGTTCATCATCCCCCAGGGAAATCCTGAACAATGACTTTTGAATGAGCCTTATTGCTGATGGTCTTTGCACTCAGTTAAATATATCTAGAGGTGGTTTGAGGATTAAGCCATGTTCAGTTCCAATGCTGAGAGCGCCATGTTGTCCTTAGCTGAGGTGGCTGTGGTGTCATGGCTCTGGGCTCTGAACCCCAGGAATACGACATACTATTTTTGTGGCCTTAATATTTCCTGTGCCCAGTTTTATCATCTGTAAAATAGGATAACACTGGTACAGTAGGAGAATAAGATAAACTGGCAAGATGTGAGCAATCAATGGACATAAGTTGTTATTTTATAAACTTCTCATCCAGCCATACAACTTTAATGCATCTTCTTAGAATTTTAATTTTGAGATGACTGTCAATTCACATGCCATTGCAAGAAATCATACAGAGAGATTACTCAGTTCTCCCCAGTGATACCATCTTGAAAAACGATTGTCCAAATCACCACCAGAAAATTGACATTGATGCGGACAAGATACAGAGCATTTCTGCCATGACAGGGATGCTTCACGTTGCCCTTTCATAGCTCCCCAGTCACTCCTTAGCCCCTGGAAATTCTGAATCTGCTCTGTTTTATCATTTCAATCATGTTAAGTCAATGCGACCATAGGGTAGTTGGGATTGACTTTCTTCACTCAGCACAATTCCCTTGAGTTCCATCCAAGCTGCTGTTTGTAGACACTGGATTCACTTTGATTGCCGAGTAGTGCCCTTCGCTGTGGGTGGACCACACGTTGTTTGACCGTCTGCCCACAGAAGGTTTCCAGATTTTCACCATGACAGTAATGCATATTTTATTCAGACTTCACTGCTGAGAAAGAACTCTTTCGTAGATCTCACCTGTCCAATACAATAGCTCTGGGAGACAGACCAGGCCATGTTAGCCTCACTTTATAGTGAGAAAACGGATTTGCCCAGTGTCACATAGGTTGTGCATGACAGAGCTGTCCCTCAGATCACCCGAATAAATACCCTGTGCTTTTTTTTTTTCACCATATCACTCTGCTTCCTTTATAAACTCATTCATTCAACAAACGTTTCCAGAGTGCCTGAGCTCCAGGAACACAAAAATGACAAGACACTGTCCTTACAGAGCGCATGTTAGAGGGCAGTCAGAAATTCAGATAACAAAATAACAACCCAGAAAGGTAATGACTGTGATGCTCAAGGTGGGAAAAGAGAAGATGTGTTTGGATATGTGTTTGGGGGCAGCCTCACCAGGTCCCTGCACGTTGTGGGCATGGGAGCTGGTGACAGTATCATGCAGTTGAAGGCAGTGGTATGTGTGTGCTGCTGTATAGAAGGTTCTGCTGAAATTTCCCATGGAGTGTGACAGTTCCCTGAAGGTCATTGGCTGAGGACAGATGCAGGCTGGGACCAGATATTCTAATTTCTGTGACTATTCGAGTCCCCAGAATAAGCAGAGCCTTGTACGCAGAGACCCAGAGAAATACAACTTTCCTCGGGTGGCTTCCGCAAGAGGAGGAGAGACATTTGCATTTGCCAAGAGACCCGGACCTCAGACCCTGGAGAAAAAGGGACCCTAAGAAAAGCACTGGGTCCACACAGGAAACGAGCCCCAGGGCTTCTCAGACCCACACCGCGTCTCCAGGACAGCACACAGCAGTGGAATTCCGGCCACCAGTTTCAGAAATGACGCTGAGAGCAAGCCTGTCTTCACAAAGCTAGTCATCGTGTTGGGGAGACAGACCAACAGACACACGCGACGTACACAGTGTGACGGGTGCCATCCCAGGGCCCACAGGGTGAGCGCAGAGGACATGTGACAGCCCAGCAGAACGGTGCTGCAGGGCAGACAGGACATTTGACGGAATGTGGGAAGAGTTAAGAGCTAAGGCATGGCACCCCTTATCAAGTTTGTTGCCCACGGCCTCCCACGCCGTTCCTATCCCGCCAACATTAAAGAGAAAGCAAGCGCCCTGGATTTCCCAGCTGGGCAGGACCCAGCTACTTTAGGTCACAGCCCTGCCCTCGGGGGCTTATTCTCCACAGTTATTGGCTGGCCTCTGAAGCATCCTTCCTCTGCTGCAAGAAAAGGGCTCTTGTTTGCTGCTGAATGGCTTCGTCAGCCTGCTTCCTGCCCACATCAGCTTGGAAGCCCAGAGGCTTCTTCTCGTTTTTGAACCACCTCCGCCCCTTTAAGTTCAAACTGATGACGCCGCCATCAGTTCAAACCGTATAAACATGGTATGGGTTTCCCCGGAATCAGGAGGAGTTTATAAAAGTCACACTCACAAATATTTTGAGATGGGTCCCTGTCTGGCTTGGGATTAGATTTAGAATGCTGTAGGATAACACCCTTAAGAGTCTTAGAAGTCTTTTGACCAGCTGAGAGGTCTCGGAGACATGCCATTAAATATTCCTGAAATCGTAAAAGAGAACCACATCCTTGAGAGGACCCTTTTTTTTTTTTTTAATTTATTTATTTATGGCTGTGTTGGGTCTTCGTTGCTGCGTGCAGCCTTTCTCTAGTTGCAGCGAGCGGGGGCTACTCTTCGTTGTGGTGCACGGGCTTCTCATTGTGGTGGCTTTTGTTGCAGAGCATGGGCTCTAGGCACGTGGGCTTCAGTAGTTGTGGCTCACGGGCTCAGTAGTCGTGGCTCACGGGCTCTAGAGCGCAGGCTCTGTAGTTGTGGCGCATGGGCTTAGTTGCTCCGCGGCATGTGGGATCTTCCCAGACCAGGGCTCGAACCCGTGTCCCCTGCATTGGCAGGTGGATTCCTAACCACTGGGCCACCAGGGAAGTCTGAGAGGAACTTTTACCCTAAGGCCATCTTATTTTGAGAACAGTTTGCCTTCTGGAAAGGCTGGGAGTGTGAAGCAGTTTAATTTTGAACCCAGAAAATCCTGGCTTCTTTATATATTCTCTAAATTATATTTGAAAACTGAAAAATTCTTCTTCTAGTTCATTTCTCTTTAATCTGTCCCTTATCTGCTGAAAGAAATCAATTGACACTTTCAACCTTCTTCCCAAAACTTTCTTAGCCAAATCGCTATCCATTAGCTATGGCTGGTTTTATTTTCCACATTTCCACATTTGTCACAGTTGAGCAGGTGACAGCTTTGCTAAACTTTCCACCACTACGTGACACGGATTGTTTTCCTCCAGCTTCCAATAACAATTTCCTCGCTGCTTTTACAGGCCCGACAACGACCTTCCTAAAACTCTTTTAAGCCGTGGCACAGGCTTAAAGCCAATGCCGTACGGTTTACATTTTTAAATGTCAACACGCCGTTCCCGGTACCAATTTCCATCCTGGTTATCTGTCGCTGTGTAGCACACTGCCCGAAAACCTAGTGCCGTAAAACAGCAATATTTTCTTATCTCTCACGGTGCTATGGGTTGACTGGTCACAGATGAGCGGTGCTCATGGGGGTCTCTCACGGTGCTGTGGGTGGACTGGTCACAGATGGGCGGTGCTCATGGGGGTCTCTCACTGTGCTGTGGGTTGACTGGTCACAGGTGAGCGGTGCTCATGGGGGTCTCT